CAGAGTGAAGAGGTGGCGTCTTTAGCACAGAGAGAGTGGGACAAAGAAAGAGCAACAACCAGGGTTAACATGGGTTTGGCTGTTTGACATGGAGAGGGTTAAAGGCAGCCAGAGGACTCAGATCCAGATGTGGTGTTCTTCCTTCTGGATGTGTTAGCATCTAACTCTCTGACTTGAGGCTGAAGGAACATAAATCTGCATGAACAGTTTTGTAGCTTCACTATAGACAACAGTTCAGTACAGAAAAAAAACACAGCGCGTTACTGCTAAGAATCAAAACCGAGTCTCAGCTTTATTTTCTATGGAACAACGTCTTTTTGGTTTCTGATCTCAATTTGGTTGTTCATTAAAAAACAGGGAAGGGAGTCGGGGAAATCATGCAAACAAGATCAAGTCAAAATGGATTCAGAGGAGTCTGTTTGACATGACCATCACATTACAGAGCAAATGATTATCATCACCAGGGGTTGAGCCACATTCAGTTTCTGTTCAGCTGGTCAGAGAGGCTGGTTTAACCCTTTCACTCCCAGGAACCAGAGCTCTGTGATGGTGTTGGCTTCATAGTGCAGGTGACCTTATCTTTACACTGTGATGAAAGAATGGAGTTAAAAATATGCTTTTTAAAACCCAGCTGACTCAGTCTAATTTGTGCACTTCTACTTCAGTCAGTTCATTTCCCAGAATGCCTTTGAACAAGGCTGATGCTGTGTCTGTCACCTTAAAGTTTACTGGAGCCCACAGCACAGGGAACATTAAGCACAGCATTAGAAATAACCTGTACTCGATGCCGTCACCGTATCTCACAGAAATACGGAAACGTCGAGTTGTCGGCCGTAGTTTTTATCTTCAACGGCTGAACAGCGTTTTGTCTCTCAGATGTGCCCAAAGTTGCTCAAGTCCATCCTCTGGACACCAGTGAACAGAAAGTGAATTTGCTCAGAGCCACTTTATTTCACCTCAGTGCCACTGATCCGGCACATTAAACATCCCATAGTTTGTATTGTCCTATATACAGCGTTGGGTCGATCTGAACAAACAGCACCGTGATGCCACTGAGGAGACGTCTCACTCGGGAAGAAACGGTTTGACTTTTAGTAACAAACACAAGTCTGTAGGAGTCTGAACAGCTGTGTGACCTGCACAACACCTGGAGCCAGATGTATAAAACCCTGTGTAGACTAAAGCTGTGTGTGCACTAAGAAATGAGCATACACACAGTTCTCAGATTTATAAAGACGCACGTCCACCTAGTTCTACTTTAGAAATCTCAATAGTATTTGGTGCACGTGCATGAGCTTGTCTTCCACTCTGGCCATAAATAAGATGCAGTCACGCCTTTAATCAGTTATTTGTGTACAGAAATAGTCTCTGATCACATGTTACTGGACATGACAACGAAAGCAACGCTACAGAGGAAGTGCTACTTCAATAAGTGTGAAATTGAGACGTTCGAAGAGGTGGAGAAAGGAAAAGACGACCTATTTGTTTCTCAATCCAGGGATTGCAAACAGAAGAAAATCTGCTGATCAACAAAAAATAAATAAAAATAACCAATGCTGTCAGTTCAAAGCGGAGGACCGTGGCTGAGGTAGAAAAGAAGTGAAGACGGTAAGACAGAGGCAGAAAAACCCATGTGCCTACAACCAGAGCATGAAGGCAACAGGAGGAGGAGCAGCAGCTGGTGCATTATCACAAAACGCCCTCTGTCACCTCACAGCCGCACTGTCAGGACCTGCAATGATGCCAGAACAGTCGTCCTTCCGCACGACCATCAGGCACAGCTACAGCTATTTATAGAGCGTTGCAATTTATTCACACACCTGTAAAGGCTTATCGTTAGGTTGCCGATGTCTCAGTCGTCAATAAACAAAAATGAATTAATAGGGCCGCCCCCTTATAGTCAGCTAGTCGAGTCATTAGTCGAGAGACCTGTCAGTCGACTGAGACTCTTCTAGTCGAACCTTTGTGCATTACAATAGAAGGCCGGTAGTTTGTCATCTTCTTCTCCTCATTTTGCTGTGCAGTACTGCCCCCCATCTTCTTCTCCTCATTTTGCTGTGCCGAGCAGCAGTTTGCTCAGTACTGCCCCTTGTGGTTGGGGGATACCCACTTCAACAGTGACACTGTCCGATACATGGATCTACATTAAGGTCAGATCCGTTTAGCAAATCCCAGAGTGAGGAGAAAAGGACAACAAACCCACCAGGATGAGCCACATAAAGGTGAGATGTTTTCAAACATCGTGGTCCACGTTTACGAGAGAAAAGACTGTCGTCACCAAGTGGCTGGTTTTGCCTGATGTTAGTGAGTCTGGTTTGTTTACCCATCTCTGTTAAAGTGCAACACACAGCTGTTTACCGATGTTTCTTCAACATGCATCCATCTGAATGGGACTAGGAAGCTAACTGCCTGTCTCGTTATTCTGACAAATCCATATGGCAGCCCAACGTTATTCATCGTCACTTTACCTATTGCGTCATATGCAGCTGTCTTCTATAGATTTTTAGATGCTCAGAAATATGCTCCTGTCCCTCTGGCATTTAAATACTGATGTTAATGAAATTAATGCCACTTGAGTTACTGAAGGTCTAGGCTGTGTATGTTTGTCAAACATATGTATGGAAAAAAACGAAGAGTCGCACCGAAGAGCCGACTGACAAAACCCTGTCGGGTACAGACCTAAGTGAACACTTTATATAACTTAGAGTTGGTCTAAAATGTAAAAGAGGGAATGTGACATCAAAAGAAACATTTATCAGGCCAACATAAACGCAGTGTTTAAAACTTTATGAACTGAAACATATATAAACAGCTACACATAATGCATGGTGTTTAAAATAAGCCGTCTCGCCTCATTTTTCATATCACACCTACTGGTCTGAAGTGTGCGTGAGGTACACACACTCTTCCCACACAATCTGTGCTTATACACGGGAGTTTGTGTGTAGGAAAAGACGTACGCATGGTTTTTGTGTGTACGCATCGTTTATGCATCTGGCCCCTGGTTTTATCGCCAGGTCACAGAATCGATAAATAGCTTCAAGAGGTTCATTTCAAAACCCAAGTCCACTCCGACGAGCTGGGGGAAACAGAATCAGACATTCTAGCACTGCACTTTCAAACAGGAAACACGTCTTGAAAAGTGTATTGTTGCTTCATGTACGTTACAACGTAATACAGAGAAACTGATGAGAGCTTGTTGCTCCAAATTAGAAGCTTTTATAGGTTTAACTTATGAAAAGGTTGGAACAACACAATTTGATCCAACAGCATGGCAGCAGACACTAGAACTGCTCAATACATTAGAGGTAATTTGGACAAAAAACAAATAAATGACTACATCAACCGCTGGTCAACAGTTTGTAGACTCTTACAGACGGCTGCGCGACAAAAGTGAAACCGTTTCGCTGCAGTGAAACGTCTGAGTTTTGATTTGTAGATTTACACCCACCGGGTTCAACACTGTTGGTCTTTGGGAGCAGAAGTTACAGTTTTCAGATTCTTGTTATTATTATTAAAGCTCTTTTAACTCAGGCACAAAATCCTATTTGGTGTTCACATAATAACTGTGCTTTTACCCTCACTCATCTGAATACAAAGCGTACTGTACTGACAGGACTATTTACACATCTGGGACCGTCGTGAATGGATCTACTCTGGGAGACGAGATCCACAGCCGAGCCCTGTTTGGACTGTTATGATGTTTGTGCTTCAGATGATCAGATGTCATCTTTAAAAGTATGAAGCCTGAACAGGTGGAGCAGGATGTTGGAAATGTTTACCCTGAAAATGTTTTAAATGTGAACCGACTTGGACAAAGTGTAAACACGTGCTGTGTCTACTCCTATTTATCACATTTCCCTATGAACTGTGGGATTATTTCTATAAGAAACCACCATCTCCCTCCTTTCCAAACTTCAGAGCTGCAAAAATTAAATTATCATTTTAACACAACAGTGCCTGAAGCATGATATGAGCAAGAAGATAAATATAATTTGTCTCTTTAGTCCTTTCCTTGTCTTTCTCAGTCTGCTTGCTTTGGTTGCGCCCTCCTTTGGCATCGCTGCTGCAAAAAGAACGAAGAAACCGAGAAGTAAAGCTACACACAGACAATCAGTCTGACTTTTTTGGTATTTACTGTTTTTGTCCTGGTTTCAGATTAAAGAGTTTTCTTTGGAGGGAAACCTGACGGGTCCACGACAGCCTCCGATAAATATCCTCGTCCCCAGTTTGTCAGTCCAACTCCTCAAAGTTCTGCTTGTCTGATGAAAAATGGATCTTCGGTTTGGTTGACTCAGGATTCTCTCCAGCAGGATGAACGTGGCTTTACTGTCGCTGGTCTCCAGGCGTCGTCAGTCAGGTTGGTCAGAACTGTCAGACTCCGCTCACACTGAGACGGCTAAATCTGCAAATGCTCTCAACGAACAGAGTCAAAGTTCAGGTAGTGTTTCTAAAGATCTCCGTCCACACTGAAACACCAGGACGTCATGTCTGTCTGCTGTTTTCTCCAGCAGCACCTGTCACGACTTTAACAATGACCACCTTATGATTTAGTTGTGCTCATTGACGTGTTTTGTTTCTGCTGGTCACTGAGTTCTGGCTCATTAATGCTACCTGTTGATTTGCTACTGGGACGATGAAATCAGTGTTTCCTGATCTGACTTAATCAATATAAAGACAGTTTAATGATAACATCTGTAACCTGTGACAGGTCTGCTGAAGTTTCTCACTACAAATAATTGACTGTAACGTCACAAACTAGTGTTGGAGTTCTAAAAGCTCTACGTTTGTCTTCCACACTACAGCAGAGCACAAAGTGATTCCTGAAGCAGCTTTCATGTGAACCAGTCACTGCCCCTAGTGAGTCTAATAATCACAGACTCAGGTTACAGCCACACAAATCACCTGCTGTCCTCACGTTGTGAGTTCTGCAGCGACTACAGCACTGTGCAAAAGATTTAGACACTTTAGATGTTTAGGTCCTTCTCCATCATCTGGACCATCTGATCAGATCATCCCGCAGCTCACACCTCCACCGGAGTCATAAAGCACTATGTTCAAAAACCAGAAGAACCAGGAGTCCTGCAGGTGATGGTCTGGCCCCCACAGAGCCCTGATCTCCACATTATGGAGTCAGTCTGGGACCAAGAAGAGACAGGAGACACTGAGACAGCCTGAATCCACAGAAGAACTGTGACACTGTTGGAACGACCGACTCGCCAGGTACCTGGAAGAACTGTCCACAGGAGGTGATGTGAACTGGGGCTGCTTTAAAGATGAAGGGGATTCAAATAGTGGTCTGGCTTAGTTTTTCTCTTTCTTGCACTTAATAAATAAAACTATTCCTGGCATTACTTTTGAAAACATCCTAACCTTATTTTAAGTGCCTAAAACTCCTGCACAGTGCTGTGAATCTGTACTGACACAGGCCCTAGTTTCATTGTAGTGTCACTACAAGAATATTAAAGGTGGGGAAATAAAGTAATAACAAAAACAAGAGTTGTCTCTGAGGACAGTGACAGAAAACCAGCGGTCTGGGCAGCGTGGACTGAACACATGGACGTTTCAGTAGCACTGATGCACCACTAAAGTAAAACACGAAGCTGGTTTCTCTTTGCTTTTTGTGAGAAAACTGTCAGCCTAGTGTGGACGGAGAGAAAAAGATGCATTTTCAAATTTAGCTGCCTTAATGTGGATGTGGTCTCAGTCGGCACACAGTCGGGGTTAATCCACCTCGATGGACTCGCTGCTCTCGTTCACTGGTTTACACTCGTTGGGAAGTCGCTGATGGCGGCTGAGCTGAGTGGCCTGTGTGAAGCTGCGGTCGCAACGCTCACACCTGACACACCCACACAGAGAAACAGAAACACAGACACAAGACATAAGAGACTGGATTTAGTTTAAGAAGTTTCACACAGAGAAGCTCATAAAAAACACAAGGCCACATTGTTGGAGAGAAAGAGAGAGAGAGAGAAAGAGAGAGAGAGAGAGAGAGAGAGAGAGAGAATGACACTCAAATTGCACAAACACACACACACACAGCTCCCTGTTAACTCTAATACCCTGTGACAGTACAAAGTGTGTGTGAGGCCGGGCAGAGCAGCAAACTGTAATTGTTGCCCTGATCTTCACAACCTGACCAACAAATTACACACACACACACACACACACAGTCCACCTGTCAATAATCTATCTAGCAGGCTGGGAGGGTATTCCCATCTCACACACACACACATCCAGGCCTGATGAGGAAGCGTCGCTGTCACTTTTAATATAAAGAGAGAAGAGAGGGAGCTTTTAGTCTGAGCTGGGGGGGTAAATGTATATGTGTGTGAGGGGGCGGCTCTTCAAAGAGAAGGCTGTGCTGAGGTATTGGGCTTAACAGCCCTGAAACAAGGCTAACACGCTGTTAGATGGGAGGAGAGGGAGGGAGGTAGTGTCAGAGAAGGGAGGAGAGCTCAGCGCCACTGTGGACTGAACTGTGGATATGTGGAGGCTCTCTAACCTGGTGTTTTGCTCATTAAACCTCATAATCACATTATAAACAGTCAGTGTGTTTACAGTTTAGTGACCCGAGGACTGTTTAGAAAGGAAACCGAAGTTAAAGCAGGTTAGTTTTCTGCTGGAGGTGGGATTTCTTGGCCATGGAGATTTGTTTCTCCTGTTTTTACAGTGATTTGGATTTAAGTTTTTCCTGACACTTGTGCAGCCTCATATCAATGAGCAAAAGTCAGAACAAACCATTATAAATAAGAGGAATTGTTTACACACACAGTAACAACATGCGCTGTAGTTAACTGATGGGAGAAGCTCCAGCTTGTTGGTAAACTAGAACCACGTCAAGAGCATAGTTTCAACAGAAACACAAGTGAGCTGCCTGTCTCTCAAACCATGTGGCAGCCTGACGTTATGTATCGTCACTTTAAATAGGTCACAGTTTTACCATTTCATCATATGCAGCTATTTGTTTGTGTTTTACATAAACAATTGACAATAACAAAAATTATTATTTTAAAATCCTTCCTAATGTACACTGAAACCTGCAAAGGGTTAACTGTAAAATGTCAAATTTATTCAGCTTGAGAAAATGCAAAATGCTGCAGTTTTAAATGTTGGCATGACTGGGCAGCAAGCTACAGTAAACAATAATAAACAACAAACACTGTCAATGCACCATGCTACCAGCCTAAAGCACTCTAAAACCTTATGGAACAAGTTCTAGTTCAGATCTCATCACTTCCCATCAGTTGGTGGACTCAGACGTCTATCATTCTTTCTTTTAAATGACCATTTACTTTAAAATACAACCGATGCAGTAACACAAAGATTCTGAATCCATCTGCTACACTTGGTTTTTCTTCATTAAGACAGAAGGAGAGGAACTGAAGGATCTTCCCGTCATTCAACTGATTCTAGTTGATGTTATTACAAATGCATGAAGGCACAGTGGTGCACAATGAGTGTTTGCATGTTGCAACATACGGGCTTGTAAAAATTAAAGTATTTATTCTGGGAAGACTTCTTGCAGATGGCTCTTTGAGTCCATCTCATTTTGTAAATTTTCTTACAGCACAAGGAAAAGAAAACAGACCTCTGACTGAACTGCCCCTGAGGTGGACGTTCCTGCTCTGATTTGTCTCTCGATCTACCAAAGCACAACAGCTACTGACATCAAAGCTCCTCTGAAGCTTCTCTGTCACAGCAACTTATCCGCCAGGGCAGACACGAAGACGAATCTGCTGCACAACAAAGAGCGGCTGCAGTCCGCTGGTGATCGACCAGCTGGCGTCAGTTAGCGGCCGCCGCCTCCTTTTCTCAGCAGGGAAAAATAGCGTTGAGCAGCTTGTCCTGACAAAATGACAGAGGCAGCTTTAATCACTTTCCCTCAAGGATCAGTGAAGTTTCAGCTCACCTCTTATCTTAATCTCTTCTGTACAACCGGACAGAAGGGGAAGTAAACAGGCTGTGTTCAGACTGATAGAAACTGAAAGACTGACGGGAGCAGAAAGAGGCTGAAGGACAGAAACCACCAGAATTGTTGTAAGGCTGCAGAAGTTACTGTGGCTGCATTGTAAAATATAGGGTTTCTCATTTACCTGCTTTGTTTAGTGTTACACATCTCTTTGGTACGTATACCGCTGTTTACCTGTCTATGGAGGAGACATTCATATTAATTAATGCCGCAGCGGTTCGTTGTGCTGTCCACTTGTGACAACACCGGCAGCAGTAGGTGTGCATATTCATGAACTGTCCTCTCATTTTTAAGAAGAGGCTCTTTGGTTTTATTGTTCTACAATAATTTGACTATTTGGAGTCATGAGGCATGCCAAGCTAATCTAGAGGTACCCAGGATCAAACATTAAATGGCTGGAAATGAGAAAAATGAGACTTAAGGACTAAAATTCAGATGATTGGATTTGAGAATTTTAAAGATTTTTTTAAAGACTGCTCAAAACCCTATTTACAACATTAGATCTTTATTTTTGTTTGGTTCCCAGCTGCACATCAACTGCTCATCTTTAGTGAACAGCTAGTCTCTAACTCTGTCCCTTGGCAGTTTGGAGAAGAAATCAAACATCTAGCTCCTGAGGACGGAGGAAGAGCTGACTCATCTCAGTGAATAACTGGACTTAGTGATAATAGGCTGATCATGTTGAAGTGGGAACAACTAACTACTTATATGATGCTACTTCAGGGCTGTGTCTCACTATGATTTGTTAAGAAACCTGTCTCCGTTTCATGATTCGTTGTGTATTTTATTCAGCTCTACTGTAGGCCAGCCATAAAACTGCTATTTGTTGAAAATACACTGTAACTTTGTTACAGCGTCATCAAATCCAAAACTTTTGCTGCAGCTCACTGTTGATGCTTTGAAACTCAACTGTGAATTGTGCTGAATCTCCAAACACCAACAGTGAGCTGGGGAATTCTGGGGATTTGGAGATTTTGCTTAATAAAGTGCTGATATCACTTGTAGAAAACGATGAGTAGAACGCTCAGTGACGTACAGACTTACAGCTAAAGAGAGCAACGCTGATAAAATTTCAAACATTTGCTCACTGCTGAAGCCTGACTCGA